TCTAAAACATTAACTTCCTATAGTGAAGCCATTCAGAGCAATATAAGATACTAATAAATATTGTTTGAATGGAGTTTTTGAAAAAAAGTTGTTTATTTTTATTGTCGATGAAATATGTTAAAACAAAAAAGAGTTGTTTACTTTTATTCTCAATGATATACATTAAAATAAAAAATCTGTACTTACTTCCAACTACATAATGTATGAAGCATATTTTGAAGGATAACATAAACTATTTCTTCTGCAATTGGAAGAAGTCTGTCATTTTTGACTGGTTTAAATTGTTCAGTATCATTATATCTATCATATTTTCTAAAGATGTGAAACAGTTGTATTTATTGTAAAGAAGTTCATTGCGGTGCAGTTAAACAGGGTATTTATTTATAACCACGGCTGGATCAAAAACGTAAAAAAACACATTTTTTGATCTTATTTTCTCTTGTTAAAACCAAATTTGCCTCGCTATAGAGAGTTAAAGTTCAATAGAAATTTCACGGGACATCTAATGTGCTTCAATATAAGCAAAACCTCGTAATAACTGTATTCGAGGGAGTATACTGTATATCCTTCTTAATAATCATTTTATCTCAATTAAATTCCCACAACATTTAGTAAATGCGTCAAAAGTTTGCAATGAAAATAAAATATTTATGTGATATAATATTTTGTATTTTGAAAACAAGTGAATTGTAGAGATAATTTCAGACATTTTTTATTGTAAAAATTGACACACAAATGAGTTTTTTTGGAAAATACAATTCATGGATCATACAATATATAATAATATAACAAAAGAGCATACTGTGTAAAAATAGTTCATATGTACTTTTATTTTTGTAACATGTTGTGGTTCTGCCTTATCACAGAAGGTAGATCAAGTATAAAAGTTTCCTTAATGATACATGGTATTATAGAACTTTTATTCAATTTTATAGGATATAACTTTTTTCTTTAATGATCCTCATCATCATCATCATCAGTGGTGCTACAGCCCTAGTTGAGACTCAACCTTCCACAGTGGTTCCTGTTCATTGCCAACTGTTGCCAGTTTGCTGCGCCAATCTTCCTCACATGTGGTTCAAATCATCCCTCCATCTCAGTCTATATCTACTCCTATTTCCTACTGGTGGGCTAATAGGGTTCGTCTGGGTAGGTAATTTTCATTTGATCTTGGCACATGTCCATTTTTATGAAATATATTACATCTATACCATTAACTATTTCTTTATACTTCTCATACAATTCAAAATTATATTGCACTCTCTAAATTCTATTCTAACAGATTGTGCCCAATATTCTGCATAGTATCTTCCTTTCAAAGACGAGCATGCAATTTGAATCTGTTTTGGAGATGGTCCATATGTTAGACCTGGTAGGATGAGTGTTCTATATATTGTTAATTTGGTTTTTTGGCTTAAATTTCTGTTTTTTAGTAGCTCTTCTTTGATGATCATTGGACCATAATTTGATCTAGAACTTCTTAGCACCATTGTTGCTGATGTACTTACAATATATTGTATTTACGTTTCAAAATTTTACAAATATATACATATTTGTAAAATTTATGTTTTTGTACATAGCGGTTTAAACAGAGGTGTGTAAAGGGGTAGTGAAGCGCAATACATGATGTCGTATCCTGTTGGCATCACTTAGCTTCTCCTACTCAATTCCTATCTTCACCTCCAAGCTGGTACACACCGGTAACCTGAGCAACCCCACTGGAGATTGGGTAACCAACCCCAATGGAAGGTGGGGTCAGGGCTGACGAAGAAGGGAGTCTTGGTCCTCCGACGAATAGGGGGTTGGGCTGAAGGTTAACTACCTTCTCCTAGAAAAACCATGAGTTATGAACGTTCAAGGAAGAAAAGCCGGACTGATTAAACGACGACGACTGTGCGAGAAAAAGGAACACGATTTGAGGGTTGCAACATGGAATGTTCGAACATTGTACAGATTAGGGGCTCTCCAAAATCTCTTAAACGAACTAAGTAGATACAAAATTGACATAACTGCCATACAAGAAATGAGGTGGATTGGAAACAATATTATGGAAAAAAAGAGCCATACCATTTTCTACAGCTGCGCTCCTAAAGATCACATTTTGGGCACTGGATTCATAGTTAACAATAGAGTAAGACATATAATAAAAGACTTCAGAGCCATCAGTCCCAGAATGTGTATTTTAAGAACTAAAGGACGTTTCTTCAACTACAGCCTAATTAATGCGCATGCTCCCACAGAAGAAAAAGAAGAGGAAGTCAAAGAAGAGTTTTATGATGAATTAGAGTCCGCATACCAGTCATGCCCAAAAAGTGATATAAAAATAATTTATGGAGACCTAAACGCAAAAGTTGGAAGAGAGCAGCAATTCCAACCCACAATAGGTAAGCACAGTCTCCATGAGCAATCAAATGACAATGGCAATAGGTTGGTAAACCTAGCAAGATCACTTAACATGGTGATTGCCAGCACATACTTCGCTCGAAAAGATATACACAAAGGCACCTGGAAATCACCAGACGGACTTACAGTGAATATGATAGATCATGTTATTGTAGACTCAAGACACCAATCGAATATAATAAACGTCCGTACCAGAAGAGGGGCAAATGCGGATTCTGATCACTACCTAGTCGAAAGTAGGATAAGGGCTAGAATTTCAAACATCAAAAAGGAAAGAGGCTCTAAACATGAACGATACAATATAGAAGGACTCAAAGAAACAAACAAAAATAGAGAGTACAAAGAAAATATAAGCATCAAACTAGAAAACAGACTAAAACATGAAAACCTAAATGAGGAGTGGGAAGAGTGCAGAGAAATCATAAAAGAAACAGCTAAAGAGGTGTTGGGCATGGAAGGTAAAGAAAGAAGAACAAGAACGAATCACTGGTTTGACGAAGAATGTCAAACTATAACAGAAAGAAAAAACAGAGCATATCTACAGATGCAACAGAGGCATAGAACCCGACAAGCAGAGGAAGAATATAAACAACTACGTAAAGAAGAAAAGGAAATTCACCGAAGAAAGAAGAGAGAATATATCAACAAAGAACTTCAAGGACTACAAGAACTAAGTAAACCAACAGAGACAAGAAAATTTTACCAGAAACTCAACAAAAGCAGAAAAGAGTTCAAACCGAGAACAACGATGTGTAAAGATAAGGAGGGTAATATATTGACAGAACAGAAAGAGATACTTAGAAGATGGACAGAACATTTTAAGGAAAAGCTTGGGGTGAATAGGACGGAGATGAACCCTGATATACCGTTAGACCAAGCAGACAACAGAGAAAAGAGTCCACCAACAATAGCAGAGATTAGAACAGCAGTGGACAAATTAAAGAACAATAAATCACCGGGATTGGATCAAATATCATCGGAGCTACTGAAAGAGGGAGGAGACGCATTACTTAAAGCCATACATGAGCTGATAAGAAAGATATGGTTGAATAAACAGCTACCAAAGGAGTGGAATAGCGGCATTATTGTACCACTACATAAAAAAGGAAACCAGTTAGAATGTGAAAACTACCGTGGAATCACGCTGTTGAATGCGGCATACAAAATAATGTCCAACGTAATGTATGAAAGACTTAGACCATACGCTGAAAAAATAGTTGGCAAATACCAATGTGGCTTCTATAGACAGAAGTCAACAATAGACCAGATATTTGTTCTGCGACAGATACTTGAAAAAACAAGTGAATATAACATCGACACACATCATCTCTTCATAGACTTCGAAAGCGCATATGACAATATAAACCGAGAATTCCTAATAAAAGCAATGAAAGAATTTAATATACCAACACAGCTAATAGAATTGATAAAAGAAACACTAAAAGTAGAAAGTAAAATCCGGATACAAAACGAATTAACGGAAACAATAGATGTGAAGAAGGGACTACGCCAAGGAGACGCTCTATCATGCATATTATTCAACATCATACTTGAAAAAATAATAAGAGACACAACAGTTAATACCCGAGGAACAATAATTAATAAAAGCGTGCAAGTACTAGCATTTGCAGATGATGTTGATATAATCGCAAGATCAAGAAGAGAAATGATAGAGGCATTCACTCAAATAGAACGAGCTGCAAAAAATAGTGGTCTTAAAATCAATCAGACAAAAACAAAATATATGCCTGCAAATAAAAACGCACAAATAAGGCAGCTGCCAAATTTAACAATAGGAGAATACAACATTGAGGCGGTAAAAAACTTTACATACTTAGGATCCCTAGTTACGTCTGATAACAACGTTGCAGAGGAAGTGAAGAGGAGAATATTTATTGCCAATAAATGTTACCATGGCTTAATTAGGCAACTAAGATCAGATAACGTCTCCAGAAAAACAAAATGCCAAATATACAAAACCTTAATAAGACCGGTACTCACATACGGTTCAGAAACCTGGACACTCTCTAAAAGGGAGGAAACGTTATTAGCCACCTTTGAAAGAAAAATCTTGCGACACATATATAAGGGCACAAAAGAAAACGGGATTTGGCGGAGAAGGTATAACTTTGAACTATACAACATATACCAGGATCCGGATATCATAACATTCATTAAAATAGGAAGGCTACGTTGGATTGGACATGTGGAAAGAATGGAAGAAGGCGAAATACCAAACAAAATATTCAAACAAGTGCCAGTAGGAAAAAGAACAAGAGGAAGACCGAAGCTGAGATACGTAGAACAAATAGAAAATGATATAACAACATTAAAAATTAAAAACTGGAAAAAAAAAGCACGAAACAGGTCAGAATGGAGAAGAATCCTTGAACAGGCCAAGACCCAAAAAGGGTTGTCGAGCCAGTGATGATGATGGTTTAAACAGAGCTACAGAACAATACAGATCTATTGTGCATAACTAGAATAAAATTATTTATATGTCTACATAAAGGTAAAAGAAATGCATGCAATAAAAATATTATGTAATTAAAAAAAAGTACAAAAAGAAGCATTTACAATCATAATGTCAGTAGTACCTATTGTTTCGCCTATTATTTCCTCTACTGTCAAAGTTGTTTCTTCTCTCATTGTAATGCTGTTTCTGTCTATTATGGTCATACCAATCCCTATCATCATGCCTAGAATAAGGATTATCCCTGTGTCTATCATCTCTATAATTATCCCTATCACGAAAGTTTTGTCTATTTTGTCTGTTGTCTCTTTCATTGTTATAAAACTGGTTCTGATTGTGCATATAACTATGTTGATTATCATGACTAAAGTTTCTTTCAGGGAAATGGTTTTGGGTGATGGCACTTGGGTTTTTAGGTTTTATATTAAGACTCTTATCATACATTTTAATTCCATTTAATAGCCTTACTGCATATTCTACAGATTGTTCATGCTTGAAGGTAACAAAAGCGAAATTGGACTGCCTGCCTTCTTTATCTGTTGGGATTCTTACTTTTTCCAAGGGAGCCACTTGAAGGAACAGCTCAAAAAGAAGTTCTTCAGTAACTTTATTTGATAAATTACCAATCCAAACTGTCTTTGACTCGTCCATTTTAAAACGATTAAACGATGAAAACAAATACCATTAATATAAAATATATCTCCAATACTCTTTTTTTTTAATAAGTTTGATAGATAAACAACTCATGTATGATAGTTGTTCTTCTTATTATTTAGCGTTGGCAATTTGACTTTTTCCTAAATCACTAAATTCTCATTAAGAAAGAGGCCAAATTTCTATCGAGTTTGGTCTCTTCCACAGCCACCTTTACTTTACTAGGAAGTAAAGGTGGCTGTGTCTCTTCTCTAATTTAATTTCGTTTTCGTAGATATTCCTATTAGCAACAAGATGGCAGCATATTCTATTCACTGAATTAAAAGAAATATGGAAATTATGCAATAACTTCGTTTGTTTATAATTTTCTATATTATGTATTAGGAAAAACTTAGCAGAAGTAATGAGAAATATGTAGATAACATCGCGATAGTTAGGTGCTGGTTTTTGCTAATTGTATTGTATTGGTGTTCAAATAATAATAAAAATATATGTGTTGCCATATCACAAAAAAAACTTACTACCTATGGTATTGAAACCATTTTAAAATGATCGACGTTTCGTTTTCCACACCGGAAATCGTTTTCAAAAAAAGAATATACAAATTCTGAAAAATGTATAACCAAAGATTTTTCAGAGAATTTGTATATTCTTTTAAAAATAATCGAAACGTCATTGTTAATTAAAAATGTGATTTTCATTACAACCAATAATTATGGCTTAATCCCATCTAAACATAAATTACACATGCCACCAGAAAACAGTTTCAGAACCTTGCATTAAATGAATTGAATAAACCGAAAATGATAAACAAAGAGAAAATACATAAGATAGATGTAAACTAAGATCATTTCAAGAATTAAGAGAAGGGACATAATTCGAAGGGCAGGATGAATATCTGTACCTTAGAGTCAGACGAACGTAAGTCAAAAAATTGTGATTTTCAGGTTTTTGATGTTTTGTGAGCAAAATTTAATTCTACATCGAGCCATAATAACGTAACTCCTTAAAAAATTATACTTTCCAAATTAGCCAAGGTTATATAACAGCGTAAGTCCTTACCCATATCAGAGCCAAACAAACGTAACTCCACTTAATGCATTATGGCTCTGAGGTTTTGCTTGAAACCTGTAAAACGTAAGTCCAAGCTGGACCTACGCCTATTGTATGAGGAAGAGTGTAAAAAAGAACAAGTTAAACCAGAAAAAAGTGGATTTATTCTAAAAATTTTAATGAAGATTTCAACTTGTCTTTTCATTCACCAGACAACGATACATGTGATGTTTGTGATAGACTAGATTGTGAAATGAAAAAAATGATGAACTACTCAATGAACTGAAATTAAAAAAAAATTAACACTTTAAGATGCCTCCTTAAGATATGAGTTAAAGAAAAAAATCTGAAAGTGCCTTCCAACACCAGACTTAAAAAACACCAAACAAAAAAGTACTGACTATTTGGACAGATAATTGCAGTGGACAAAACAGAAATATGAATATGGTTTTTATGTATTTGTGGCTCTTGGAAAAAGTTCCTACTGTAAAGACAGTTAATCACTAGTTCTTATTGGCCGGAAACACCCACATGGAAGTTGATAGACACAGCATAATAGAGAGAGCTAAAAAACAAATAGAAACTAATACTATCATTAAAGACTTCTTTGATTTTTTCTTCTTGAGGAGCAAAGACGCCCCATTTATATCAAGGAAGAAGAACACAAATAACGAACTATTTCTAATATCCAATGCAGTGCGGTTACAGCTTCGAAAAGGGGACAGTAAGCTATACTACAAAACCAGTTTTAAAGAAAATTCTTCAAAAGTGTTGAACTGAAAAGAAATCGGAGGCAAGAAAGGATTAATATGACAGTGACAATTCCACAAATACGGGCACACAAAAAAAAATAAACGACCTCATGAACCTGATGCAATGGATCCCTGAAGAATACAAATCTTTCTTTGAAAACCTTCCACATGGTGAACCCGAAGGCAACTTCTCTGAGGATGACTCGACTGCTCTTTAATTATTTTTTTTTCTCTTTACCTATTTGATAATAATTTGTCCTATTTGTTCAAAATTAATTGAAAAACATTGACTAAATGCTAGTTTTTCATCTATATTTGTTTATAATAATAACATGTTTTTAATAGTAGCACATGAAGTTTATTTCTAAAGACCTTTTCATAGGTAAGTAAGTCCTATGAGAGATTTTTGTAGAGCCAAACTAACGCAGGTCCAGGAGTAAGTCCTACAGTAGAGTTTTAGTTAGGGTTTTATAACACTAATTTGTAATTTTGTAATTATTAAGCAATTAGGTAACTATTTTAGTTTTTGTCCTCTCTTGAAAACTTGGCTAGACGTGACTTACGTTTGTCTGGTTCTGAGGTACAGATATGTATAGGTATAAAGTTTGTTTAATGATGATAAAAGATTCATTGGATTCATTAACCAACACACCAATATCACAGATCCGACCACAATACTTAGTTAATAGGTAGCGAACGATGATCAAAATACAAGATCCCCATTCCCCATATTGAAAAAGCTGTTCTTCTATACCACCTATACTATAACACCGAATAACTTGTTTGCGAGTCTATAATAGACAGATAAAATAAAAGACGATGGCAGTTATCGAATAGAAGAAAGAATCTTGTTCAATCAACCATTACCAAGAAAAAAGTACTGCAAGAGACCATGTAAACATGTTCTTTATAAACTTTCCTTTTTCCAACATTTCCTAAACGTTTAGCACTAGCGGCAACCCGGCAACATCAAATATCCATTTACCTGTCAAAGAACTCCAGATTCAGATTCTCACACATTCAACATTGCGCACATGCGCAGGACAGCTGACCGCATGGCAAGAAAAATATGTACACATTGCACATGTTATTTTGTTGCATGATTTGTTATGGTGTAAAAAAGATAAACACAACAACCAACAACCTACTTAATAACCTGATGAAATTTCCTACTATGCATAATGAATTTTAAATTGGGATTTCCCACATATACAAAATAATAAAACAACTTCTGATACATTTTTAGGTTAATCAATGAAACTAAGTACCGGTGGTATTAAAGGCGTATCTCTAAATTTAACACATATTACAATAAAAAACAAATAAAAAGAAATTGTATCGGAGTTGGTTATAAGCTCTACACGGTTTAATGAAAAACAGTTCGGTGCTAAACAAATTATTATGCTTATTATTAAACAGATAACAAAAATGAAACGTATTAACTAAAATATTACTATTTAAAAATTTAATTAGTACAGTTTTATATTAAAGTGTTTGGTGTAGTGAAATATTCGTAATACAATCTGGATAATAAATCTGTAAGAGATTTCCTTATTGTTATGTACCTGTGAATGTGATTTCTCTTTATGCTGTGATACGATGATCAATTCAGGTTCGTATTTTTTATTGATATTTAAATATTTGAGTAGATATGTGTAACGTGACATGAAATATATAGTGTTTAAAAAGGATCATACCGATATTAAGAACATTTATTAAGGTTAATTGAGGCAATAATAATTCAAACTATATATAAGATATAATTATGTACCCATTTAAATACAACATACAACAGCACAGCAGCTCAGATTTACAGGGTTGGCTTCATACAATTTTACCTAAATAAGATAATTAACTATTAGTACAGTGAACGAAGATAAAAATCAACTATTACCTCCAATTTCGGTGAACCTCCATCGATTTGCATGAAAATTTGGGATTGAGTATATTTTACCCTCAACTTCAAAAGTGACATATGCTCAACTTGCGCTTTTTACATTTTAGGGGTGAAATCCACACTTTTGTTAAAAATGGTAAAAAATGCAGATTTAAGCATTCTGGCATAAGTAATCTCGATTAATTAAATAAAATACATATTCTGAAACATAAATATTTTGAAAAAATCATTTTTAACAATTCTTCTGGAGCAAGTGAATTGGGATTTTTAGTTGGACCTTTGGGACCAGATATGAAAAGTTTACTGCACTATTTTTAGTGGTACCCTTAATAAAGGACTCATTACGCATCTGTTGCAGATAAGCTGATAGGTCTTTGTCTACTTCTTATTACCTATCTTTTTTCCTATATATGCATACAAAATCTCTTCTCCAAAAATTTTTCTAAAAAAATGTTATTGATTTTTTTACAATAACTCCGTTAATTTTTATGATGTCGGGTTCATTCAAAAACTATTCGAAAGGTAATTTCAAGGGCTATAGGGTCGTGTTAAATTTAATGTTTTAAATCACTTATTTTTTTAAAAGATAAAAAGTTACAGGGCTTCAGTTACATGGTTCTCGCAGTAAAATTTAGGTTTTAAACGTTTTTATCTTATTTTTTACTTATCCTACAAAAATATAAAAAAGGAAAATCTTTCTAAAGAAAAACCTCAAATTTTGTTTTCTATCATTTTTTAAGTATATAAAATGAAATTTATCAAAATTTGAAAAATGCTGATTTTTTTAAATCAATTTTTTTTTTCAAAAATATGCATTCTAAACCGGCCAAAATTTTTGAGGTCATTACTTATGCTATGTTTTATTTTCCACTTTTCACTTTTTCCAAAAAATGAGAAAAGGCAGCAAATATTTGATTTCACGCAAACAAATCCTATGTATCTCTTGATACGTATTTCGACCTAATAGGTCTCGTCAGAAGAACTATTCATAGGGGTTCTCAACGTGAAAAATCAATATTTTCTGCCTTTTAAGAAGCAACAATAACATGGCTTCAATACGGACGCAGTAGCGACATCTAATTAAACAATCGTAAAATAGTTTCGAAACACAATTCAGAATTGCAAGGCAAACAGACGTTGATAAAACATGTTAAAAAAATTCGAAAGGGTCCTCTTATTTTCATCATAACTTGCTTAATTTTGATGGTATCAACTTCTTCTAGAGCTCATTTTATAGGTATTTCTGAGTACTTTGAAAATTGTTCACTAGGTATATTTTATAAAACGCATTGTTTTCCGGTTATTTAAGCTTGAATATTCAGATTTGAGTACTCGCCGAAAAAAGAAAAAAATACATTAATTACCTATAACTCACTTATT